ATGTACTAAAGTACATTCTGAAAACAATCGCTCTGAAGATGAAGAAGATGCAAGCAAACACAAATTTTTTGGTACAAGTCTGCTAATAAGAGGATAATCACAACTGTGTTCTTTCCACCACTCCAGTGGATTGAAAAATGAATTTTTATCAACAAATCCCGCATTCAAATATTTTTCAACTTCTTTTATAACAAGTTGTCAAATATCAGTTGGATCGGGTATCCCCTTTATTTTAGAAGTGAAATTATTATCAACATCTTTCTTTTCAACATTTTAAAATTAAATACAAAAATCATCAACATCATTTTCATTATAAATATACTGACAATCTTTTTCATACTTTTATCCAACTAAAATGGGACTTTTATTTATTATACTTTTATAATTATTTATAAACAAATAAACAAAGATTTGATTATTTTAAATTGAAAATAATGATAATGTGTCTGGTGTACATTTATCATTCATTGATGTCAAACTCAGTTGTGTTTTCTCGTTTTGAGATTAAAACAACAATCAAAACAGTTCATACCAAATGATGTCACGGTTGATGGTATATCTGCACTGGTCAAATTCGTACAACTAGCGAAACACCACTTACCAAGTGATTTCACACTTGATGGTATTGTCACATTGATAAGACTGCTACATCCACAAAAAGAATGATCTCCAATTGATTTTACACTTGATGGTATTACTATATTACTCAGACGTTCACAAGAAGTAAAACATGAATTTGGTATTGATGTAACACTCGATAGTATAACTACATTTTTCAAAAAGCAACATCGACAAAAACAGGCTTTACCAATTGATATAACACTTGGTGGTATTATTACACTGCTTAAACTACTACATTCATAGAAAATATCATTACCAATTGATTTAATACTTGATGGTATTGTCACTTTGTTCAGAGTATCACATCCATAAAAACAGTTGTCACTCATTGATGTAAAACGGGATGGTATATCAAACTCAATACACTTATATTCGTTGTTTAACTTTTTATTGTTGATCATAATTACACTTGTTGGTATTGCTACACTGCTCAATGTTTCATACCCAAACAAGCATCTATTTCCAATAATAACTTTTATAAAATGTGGTATAACTACATTGGTAAGATGATTACATTCACTAAAACAGGAGTTTCCGATCGATTTCACACTTGATGATATTACGATACTACTCAGACTACTACATCTATAAAAACATAAATCACCAAATGATTTCACAGTTGGTGGTATTGTAACGTTGACTAGACTGCCGCAGTAAATAAAACATTCATCACCAAGTGATATAACTTTTGATGGTATAACCACATTACTCAAACTGTTGCATCCATTAAAACATTCATCACCAAGTGATGTAACACTCAATGGTATCACAACACTGCTTAAATTTGTACAGTTATAAAAGCACCATTTACCAAGTGATGTCACATTTGGCGGTAAATTATTACCATATTTATTTCTATCATTATTGGTATAAGTAACATTCTTAAATTCGATGTTTTTATTACTGTTCATGTCAACTGTTGTATAATCAACATTGAACCACACAACAATTCTATAAAAATCGATTATTATTTCATCTATTTTGTTTTTGTTGATATCTTTATGAGTTTCAGGGTGTTTTATATTAACAAAAAAATCATTACCAAAGTTTTCGTCCTCCAAATTCCACAAGTGAAGTGTCTCAATGTTTGTAAAGTATTTGATAGTTTTGTAATTCAACGGAATTGGATTAAAATGAAACTTCTCTATGTTGCCTTTGTACTTCTTGCATACAAATTCAATGTTGACAAGGTCTTCTATTGTTGTGAAATACTTTGAGACTATCATGACATGGTAACTGTCAAGTTTGGACATCTATAATTATTAAGTGATAGTTTGATTTTTAAATACTTAAAATTCAAAGGAACTTTATATTTTTAGATGATAATTAATTGGTTGAAACAATGTCAAATGATGTTTTTAATTGTTGGTAAAAAAATATTTTACCAAAAATACACATTTGTTTTTAAAAATAGTCAATATAATAA